GATAGTGCAGTTGTGGCAGGGGATGTTTCTGTGGGGAAGTCACCAAATAGGATTGTGGGGATGATAGGCGTGGCTGGGCTGTTGCAGATGACCAAAATGGGGCTGTCATCGAGGAGTGGGCTAGAGAAGTAGTCAACTTCATCTAGGTCGTCAAGAAAAGGATTGTGGTGGATGGGACTAGGTTACCTTTTTTGAAGGAGAGAGATGGGTTGGTGTTTGCCACTGTCAGTCATATGTTTACCTCCTTCATGAGTCATTAAAGGTTTTGGTACCATCACCTCGAGGGCCAATACAAAAGGTACATGGGCATCAAAAACCTTTTCTTTTCCTTTTAACGAGGTCAAGGATGTTTTTGGGGGGTCAACATCCATTGTCAGTGGGGCAGTGGGAGTAGCAGGTACATCGGAAAAGCTGTCTTGTTTGTCGTGGCATCTCTCGGAGGGTGGGTCCCTGTTGGTTTCGGCAGATTTCCAACAACTGGTAGGTGGTTTTCCGGTCAAACTCCTAGTGTGGTACCACAGAGATGAGGAATTTTTGCCCTGAGTACCGATCAAGTTCCGATCTTTTTTTTTTATATATACTAAACAAAGAGAATTCATTCAAAAAGGGGTCTATCGTGATTGTGAGGACATCTTCCTGTGTAATGGGTGGTGGGAGCTCTATCGTTGTGGGGATGAAGCCAGTGTCGTTCTTTTTTACCTTGATCTTTAGTTCCATGAGGTTTCTAAGGCTAGAAGATGTCTAAGATACTTCTATAAAGCCTCCACATTTATTCCCAATGTATGGGATGATTGTGCCATTCCAAAAATGCAGAGGGAGATCTTTGATAGTGATCCAACCTCCATAGGAGGGGACAAGGCGATTTTGGTTGATATTATTTGTGCTCCATAGTAGGAAACGGAGTTTGTAGGGTCCGATGCCAATCAGCAGTAGATGCGAGGGATGATGCCTGCTGTTTATCCTTGCATCCAAGGAGGGCTTTGTGAGCATGAATGGGGCTGAGGGAGCAAAACTCACTTATGGATTCCTGTAATGCCCGAAGGATGGAGTGCCAATCATCATGAAAAGAATGGCATTGCACAATAATCCATTTACTCCAAGCAAAAATCTCCGGAAAAAGGTTCGACTTGTTAGATGAGTCCGGGAAAGGACGGTTTGCAAGGTAAGTTTTGGCAGCTCTGGGGTGGTATGGCAGGGTATTTGGGGAGAGGGTGCAGTGAGTTCTTTGCTTGGAAGGGGTGGTTTTTTTGGTCTATCCTCAGATGGATGGTTTTTGGTTTTCTTAATGTTCATTCTTATTCAGCCTAATTGTATTGCTCCTCGTTGAGCTTGTTCCTTTCTTATTTTGCTTTTTTATTCTTCAATCACTCTATCTGGGCTTGTATCTAATCATTTAAGAAAAATAATAAATTAAAAATTAATAAAATCTATGTGCAAGAGTGTGCCACCCTTCCCCAATGATCCAACCAGAAAAGCATACTAGAATGTATAGCCACATGGTAAGCACAGACCAAACTACTCTTTCACCTTTTACTAAAAACGAGCATGCTAGAATCATCTTTGGCTCTAATGTTAGAATGTTGAATGAATAAATCGAAAAAAAAAACTCTTTGAAGAAGACTCYATCAACTAGTTAGAAGAAGGGTCTTTGGCTCATTCTTCGATTGCTGGCTATCTGATGTCACAGACCCAGACCACAAGTTAGGGAATACCGAAGTAAGAATTTCTAGAGCTGGACTGAGAACAATAAACTGCACACGCCTTGCGTACGTGCTAATAATGATACTTTTCCAAAGGGAGTTGAGCTCAATAGAAACCCACCAAAGTAACTCCATGAGAATAGCAAGGAGTCTTTAACAACAATTATTAGCCAAAGAACCAGGGCTATCACATTTCAAGAAAGAATAATCATCGACTATAAGACTTTCCTTCTAATAACCTTGTCTTCCTTTCCCCTTTTTCTATTTTTTGGAATTTTTCTTCCTTTCCTAGGCAACAAATACAACACAAAGAATCGAATTGATCACTCTCACAACAAAGCTACAATTTTTCTTGTTCGATCATTGGCAAACACTACAGCAGCATATTTTTCATACCATCATTTAGTCGTTATCATCAAAAACTTTAGCTATGAGAAAGCAACTACATGAACCAAATAAACTGCCGATAAAAAATATAAATTTGAATTATAATAAAAAAGGAGTTAGAGGGTCATTTAGCCACTTATCAGTAACATTATAGAGGTTAATAATACCATTCCCTGGGATAATCAATGCGAGCGATTTTAGAAATGATGACCGCCAAGATTGCTGCTATCTGTTGAGGCACAAACATAGAGAACCCATAGAACAATAAAATACTTAGAGTGCATGGAAATGTTATATATATATATATATATATATATATATATATACATTTTTCTTTTCTTTTCTTCCCTTTTAAGAGAGAGACAAACAGGAGGGGGAAGAATAACCCATACCTTATAATCTGGTTCTCTCAAGTGGGACAATAGCTTTTTCCTGATATGAGCCTTCTCCTCATTGCTAATCCCGCTGAAACTCAGAAACTAAAATAACATGAGAATGGAAGGATGCAAAACCAGTCGAGATAAAAGAAAATACTTGATGGGACGACCTGTTATCCGGGATTGAGCGTCTACTACTAGACCTCCAATAACGATTAATACTGTTCTTCAAATAAACGGATGCCATGAGACGGATATCGGCCCGAGAAGCTAAATCCGGAGAAGTGATCAGCTCCAAGAGACAAGAGCAAAACCCAGACCTACTATCAGTCTCAGATAGCGCCGACTCCGCCTGTTTACGAACACCCTCATCCCCACTCATTGAATTCATCAGCAACGTGTACATCGCTGCCATATCTGAGCTCGACATTCCCATTTTCAGATAAGCCTGGAAACTTTGACCTATTACTCAATAAACCTTGCAAGAAAATGTCCCATATGAAGAAGAAGAAGTTCCCCTCGTCAAAAATCCGCTCTCCGATGAACTTTTTACACTGTAACTCGAATCGCCCTGCAAATGCCAGCCATCGAAGGGGCCCCGCTGCTGTATAAACTCAATGCCGCTGCAGCTTGTTGATTGATTTTCTCCTCCTCTGATGCCGAGAAATGGCCGCGTTCTCGAGGGTTTTGGGCCAAAATGAAGTTTGATAAGTTTTGCTTAAAATGCCCCTTCTCTAAATCTTGGTTCAAATTTGTCTTTTTGTTGATAATTGTCAGTAATTGGGTGTTTTAATCTTACTTTGTTAAACTTTTAATTATTTTATTTCACTATTACATCTTATTTTAATCCCTCAATTTTTTACTAATATATTTTAATTTTTCAACTTTTATATACATATTTATATTAATCCTAATGATTGATTTTTCGTTATTATTAATAACCGTGGGAATTTATTTGAGTAGGTTGTCTTCTTGAAAGTTGATGCGATCTCTCGCTCCATGATTATTAAACTTAAAAGAAAATTTTAAATTTATTTAAGAACTCAATATTTACCCACCTACATGAATTCAATATTTTTTTTTTAAATCACTTGTATGTATAGATGAATAAATATGTGCCTATCGCTTTATTTTAAATAAATTATTAAAAACCAAATGTGATTACTACCGTTTATTTTTATTATAAGTCTATTGATTAAAACAAAAAGTCGTATAATTATAGTTGCGATCGGAGGTAAAATATATATTGTTCTTATCATTCTCATGGTATATGAGACAAAAAATTACATTTTAATTATGGTCGCATTCTATAGACACAATTCTACCATGTATATCTTTCATTTCATCAAAATATAATTTTATGATATAGATGTTCATGACCTCTCCCTTTATGTCCTGAAGTAATAATTCATCTGGCATTATTACCTTTATCATGACAATGCATAATTATTTCACGTACTTGATTGTCTATAGCTTCATTGTGTGCGTTCAAATTTGTATAAATGTGTCACCGTGCTATTAATTATTTTGAAGTTTAATGACCCAACAGGTAAAATGCATAAAATATCAAATATATAGAATTTAAGCCTACTCTTTCTCAATTAAGTTTCTTTATCCCAACTTTTACCTCACGAATTTTAGAACACGTATTCAAATCATCGTTTATTAGCAAATAATCTAAGCATGTTTCAAGTATTAATTCGATAAGAATCTTGATGTCAGATACATTTTGAAATAGTTTGTATTGATATTATAAGAGAGAAAAAGTTTTACATTATTCTACTAGCAAACACTCGAGTACACGTATAATATTTGTCTTGAAGCTTCAAAAAGGCCAAATTGATGTCAACATCTTCTATAGGTGATCCTTAATTGGCCCTTCTTTAAATGCCCAGATAAGAACCAAGCATATTTTGTTATTTTTCTTATGCAAAACACTTACTTTGACATGAGGGAACTCAAAGAATCAAATTATTTTTACAATATGGCCGAAATAATTTATTTTGAATTTTTGACCCCATATTATAGGGTAAATATCAAAAGATAGGTAAGAGATAAATCAATAAAATGAAAGAAGAATTCAAAGTATTGTTTATCAACAATTTTAGAGACTTTTGCTCTGGTGTATCTATATGATTGTAAAGTAAAAATTCCTATTAAAAGAGGACAATTACTAATTGTCTAGCTAATTGTCTAAATAGATTAAAGTCAATAGAATCATGGAAGAGGGTATTGGACCTCATTTGGAGGAACGTCATGCAATAGGACTATGAAGCACAAATGCTTCAATTTAGGTAATATTTCGTGTTTGGCACATGTTGTACACATCGACACTTTTAAACTTGTTAGACACAGGTGATATACTTGTTAGGCATAACAGATGCATGTCAAAATTAGTTGAACAAATTGAAAACTAACCTAGTCTTTGTCAAACTTCGCGTAGAAAACTTATTAAACAAAACACGTGTCAAACACTCGTAAAATTTTGGAGAGTGAAATACATGTGAATGCATAAGCACTATTAAGTCCAAATTTCCTAATCATTTGGAAAGTTGATATATTATTAATTCCAAAAGTAATCACTAATCAGACATTTTTGCCAAAAACAAATGAATCCCATTACATTATTTTCCCAACGGTACGCTTACTGTTTGATATTTTCTCCTCCATCAAGTAAGGTCTGGTGGGAAGAGAATTCCCAGAAAACCAACTTGGAAGTAAATGCTGCTTTATATCTAATGACAGAATACAATTATGGTTTTAAAAGAATCAAGAGGCTCCACGAGCTGCATCAGAAAGGGGTTGAGCAATGGCTAAAGGGTTAACTTGGTATGAAAATGCAAGCTGCCATAAGTCCAACAATGCTTTCTTTACCGATGAAGCTTGTTTTTGAGCGATCCTGAGATCAAAAAACAACACATTCAACGTAAATTTCGATGTTGTAATAACTTCACCAGTTACAATTATAAGTACTCTCCCTGAAGTTGTGAAGAATTAAAGATAGAGGAACATAAGAAAACATCATTTTGATGCAATTATCAAGAGTGTAGTCCATATGAACAACGTTGCCAATCTATCCTAATAACAACATTTACAACTAGTATGAAGTACCAACGTCACTTAGACGGTTATATAGAAGTTCAATGAGTTTGAATGACTTTTGGGAAGGTGAAAAAGTGATTTTAGCAGGAATAACATCAGTTTGGTAGGATAAATGGCTCGCACCCAACACCTTGGCAGCAGATTTCCCAAATCTTTATGTTATATTCACTAACAAATATGCCAGAATCTCGGATATTTGGTCCACAGCCGCCAAATCATGGGATATAGCTTCCAGAGGCCATTAAAGGAGGACGAATTTGACGACTGGCTCATCTTATCTCATAATCTCTCCCAAACCATGCTCCCCCAACTAAAGATAGGTGGTTATGGCCCAACGATTCATCTAAAGGTTTCTCAGTGAAATCTTTGTTTACAAAACTTACTTCTAACGTAGAGCAACATCTTCTCCCCTTATACAACAGAATTTGGACGGACAAATACCCTAAAAAGGTCAAATTTTTCTGCTGGGAACTCGGTCATAATGCTGTCAATACACAAGGCTTGGTGCAAAAGATGCACCCACACATTGTCATATCTCCAAACTGCTGTTACCTTTTTCTAAGGAGGCTGAAACACAGGGACACTTATCTATATCTTGCAAATTCGCTACAGGTTTCTGGAATAGGATTCTCTCATCTTTTGGTTGGCAAATCCCACTGCACTCTAGCCCTATTATGTTTCTACAAGATTTGTTGGTGGAGCAATATTTCAAAAAGAAGGTGGAATACTATGGGTTAGTTGTTCTTTTTGGAGTATATGGTTAGAAAGGAACAACAGATATATCCCTCTCTTTTAATTCATTTTTTGATACAGTCATGGTTTTAGCTGTTGGCTGGTGTAAATGATTTATTCCCCCTTTACAAAGTTACGAACTACAATCTATTCTCAATGATCTCTTGACAAGCTGGAAGACCTTTTTGTAATCCAGCCTTTGTGGTTCTTTTGTACCTTTCATATCATCAATTAAATATTTATTTCTTATAAAATTAAAAAAAACTTTAAGTTGAATCTCTAACTTGTACTAAATACTTCTCTATTTTAGCATTGAGCAGTATGATACAGCGCAGCAGCAAGGAACAAGCATGGATATAGCTAGTAGCAACAAAGATAGCTCAGTACTATGTTTTCCTTAATTGACAATAAACATACCTCTTCATAGTGGTTAGTTTCCTTCGCAATAGATAATAAATTACCACTGACAAACAGGTAAGCACAATCCTCTTGTTGGATATGACGAGCCGAGTACTTCCAAACTTCAAAGTGATAGACCGGAATGGCCAAAAACGTGGTTTTGTAAGCTTACGTAGTCTTAGAACCGTTTCTCTGTTAGCATTCCCTCTGTCTTGATGGTATCCAGGGTCTAAGGCCGCTTTTGATGCATGAAGTTCTTCTGAAGAAGACAAATGTTGTTTTTGATCGTCTTTAAGTAAAGATGAAGGGGATGATTTTGATGAGCTAGCAGCTTTAAGAGAGTGCAAGTAGTCTAGCCTCCTCAAAAGTACCTAGTAAAAAAGTTAGAGGAAACAATTGACAATTTTTGGCAAAATACTAGGTAGCAAGAACATGAAAGAACAACAGTTAAGGAAATGGAACATGAAGATAGCTGGAGATGAACATGAGGGAGATGCTACTTAACTTTGAGAAAGAACTTTAAATTCAAGACTAAAGGAAAGTGCTCTAACGAGGGTATTCAGATAGACATAAGATGCAAATCTTCTCATAACACTAAATATGGATTTTTTTTTGCCAAATATGGAATTTAGCAAAATATGACGTAATGCTGATCCTATATATATATATGTTAAATGACATACAGTAGAACATGAATACCTGACGCTTTTCCTCAGGTAAAGCAGCGTTCTCAACCCAAGAGACAGCAAGATCCACATCATTCAAACCTATCTCTATGACCGTTCGGAGGTAGACTTCAACAACTTGGAGATATTCATCAACAGTCAACTGAGCATGCTCATCACAATGTTCTATGCCATCAATATTTCTTGAGCCCACAAGAACATATATTTCTCCATTCAATAATCTCCACTTGCTAAGGAACTCTTCCAGAAAGTATCGCATATCAGAAAAACCTTCCGAGATCTGAAGACATGCACTGCAGAATAGTGCAAGGTAAACGTTACAATTAAAATCTGTGCATAACAATATCACTTATCCACACTTAAAAATTTTATTGGACAACTACTTGACCCATTTGATGTAAGGAAAGTTGTAGTATTAATTCTAATTTTCTAGATAGAAGGCCACCAAGTTATGATCTACAAGCATAACGGTATCTAAGTTGTCTACACCTTACTCTTTCCACCATTGGGCCAACCCATGATACCTTAGGCATATTGAGATTATTTTCTTCACAATTTTGTTTAAATAGCTGGGGAATTAGGAACCACTCCTTGCATTATACTCCTGTCCTACCTCCATAAATTCCCAGCTTCACAAGACAACACAAATACGTAGAGAACAATGTTCAACTGTAAAGAAATATATAGTGAACTGGACAATAAGTAAATCAGGGGCCTAAAAAAGGAAAGTTCGAACAAGAAAGAGAAATATGGAAAGAAACAGATATATGATGTCAGTTACGAAAAGGGGAAAATGGTTCTTTAAGAACAAGACTAGCTTGGAATTACGTTTGGCAGTAGATGAGATTACCCAGTTAAAAGAACATTAACAGGGATGGCTGCAACAGAGGCAAATGATAATTTGAGCTCATCCACTATACGCGATGTCCTGCAATTACACGAGTAAACTGAATAAAAACTGTCCTGCCATCAAATAATTAAACATACCAGTAAAGTGATATAACAATTTGAATTTCTTTGTCCATGTTGACACCACCTTAGGAAACAACTTCCTCCAAAATATATCTTAAAAAATTGATTAATACGATTAACAATATATTCATCAAGATTACCATCAAAAGGCTCCATCTCCATAACAAAAATTACAGTCTATAATTATCACTTTATGGTTTGGCTCACTGTGCAGCCCCTTAAAATTCAGCGCTCCTTTGGTTAACATTGGGATAAAAATAGCCCACGTGAGCTTAACTTAAACTGTTTAACACACCCATTTTCGACTAAAAGTTCATCTATTCTAATTCCACCTCTGTATTAATAAAATATAAAAAAAGGATAAAAATACAACTGAAGTATGAAAGAAGTTAAAAAAACGCCACCTTCCAAGTTCCTTCAAAGATTGAACTAAAACCATACCAGCGGCTTCCAACATATCACCATTTTCCCAGCTACTTTTATCTTGAGAAATACGCGTCAAAATTGAATAAGCTAGCGATAATGCTTCCTCATACATGGAGCATACAAGATAGCTGCAAAAGCCATCGATGACTTGACATAAGGAGTCGATTAACTAGTATGTGACCATTTTTTCATAGTAAACGACCAGAATTCGGGAAATTCTATTCAGAAAATCAGAAATGATACCTCTCAGAGCGCTCGATCTCTTCCCAAATTGCTTTTGCGTCATCCATAGCCAATTTTTGTTGCTTCCAGGAATTAAGAAACTGAATATGGAATTGCAATCGATCACCTCGCGGCGACAAATGGAACCGATTGATGGCCTAGAGAAAAGAAGATGAGAAGCAAGAACTGCCCATCGAGCGTGTGATTTTGTTTCCTTTGCCACGCCTCACGAAGCCTCGATAATCGGCGTGGTTTTCTTTTTTTTTTTCCTTCCCTTGATGAATGTAATTTTTATTTTTATTTTCCTTTTCTCTGGTTAATTTTTATTTTATTTTTTATCGACTAAAATAATGATTTAATCCGATTTAGCCCTACCGTGAAAAGTGTTATTAAGATTTGATAGAGTTTGTTATAAGTAGAGCGCTGTCGAGTTTCACCCAGCCCGCATTCCCTCTTAAAAGGGTCAAAGAAATGTCTCCACCACCTGCCCGTCTTTCTTCGAAATTCTACTGAATGGGTCCATCATCCCCTCCCGTTTGTTTTAGCAACTTATCCTAAGATCTCCTCACCAAGAGCTCCCCATCGATGACAGAGGAACCAACTCGCCTGCTGTGGTGGGGTGGCTTCTTTGTTTCACAATAAGAGACCTGGACGATTATCCCTACCCTCCGTAGCTTACGAGTTTACGTCCATCCCGGGTACAGTTTCCTTTATCTTTCTCCCTTGTAGCCGTTACCCGAATTCGCACAAGTGTTTCTACACCCCCAAAATTGACTTGACGAGGAATCCATTCTCGCAAACAAATACAAAATGTATTTAAATTACAAAAATTAACATTATTAAATAATAAAAATCAACATTTTAGTTTTGATCTAAAAAAACATTTTAATTTTGATAAGATTTCTCATGGTATATACTATGCTACAAATTTCAAATTATATAGACTAAATTATTGCATATTAAAGTTTTAAGTACTAAATTATTATCCTGTAAAAATATATGGATTAAATCATTTTTAACTAAAGTACTAAATTGAAGACTATATATATATATCACACTTTTCTTTTAAAATTTAAATCACAAATTCCACGTTAGAGTTGGGAAAATAAAACCGTTTAAAAAGGTAAGGAGGATCGAGGCTTCTTTTTTGAGGTTTATTTTTTCATTAGGTGCGTCGGTGATAATTGTCTTATTTACTAAATTATGGTCAAATTATTTTGTCAAATGTCCAAATTTTTATTCCATAATTAAGATAATAAATTTTTAAAAAATATCGAACTCTAAAAAATAGTTATAATGGTATTTATATTTATGGTTGGATAATTACCCAATAAAAGATGACTTGGTAATTAAGGATCCATTAGAACACTATAATTCCTGTAAAATATATATATATATAATTCTGACATATTTAAAAATTCATATTAAAATTATGCTATTTATCAAATAAAAATATCATATTATAAAAAAGATAATAAAATAAAATATATCTCTTAACCAATTGAACTATATTAAAATTAATATTTTATTTAATTATTCGTGTCACAAATGAAGGGATAATTTGATAATTTAGTATTCTATTTTACTTATAAGATTCTCAACCCTTTACTCTTTCATATAAATTTATTTCAAGGATGGTATGACATCATGTAGTCTAGAGAATGTTATTTATGAATAGTTTCCTTAATAAAAATCAGAAATATAACCATTTTTTAAAATTTTATTAAGCTTAGAAATATTACTTTTATTAATTGTATCCCCTTATTTTGTTATATACATTTTAAAAATATTTTCAAAATATAAGCCAAATTTATATTAAAAAATAAATAAATAATTTTTTTAAATCTCGAGATATATATATATATATATATATATATATATATATATAATTATTGCCTTATCTTATGATATCATAAATTTCATAAAATAATTACCTTCATCTTGACACTAATATGATTAACGATTATAGAATATAGATTATGTTATATTCCTAATCACCAGCCTAAACAACCTCGAAAGTTGTTTGTACCAACATCACACTTGAATCTAACTAATCTTGAATCATTTTAGAAAATACTCGAATATTTTAAACGAGTTCGACAACGTCGATAGATTTTCGAACATGAAATAGTCGGTAAACAAGGACGATCTTACATAAATGTGAAGATCATAGTTCTACTAAGTCACACTTTATAACCCTAATTCAAGTTTGGAAACATGCCTTTGACAGAAAGCAGAACTATTCTACAACTAGAAGGTTGTTTTCCATCAAACCATCGCCAATGGTGGGAAATTGTGGTGAAAGTTGCCACTCTCCATCTACTAAGAACTTGATTTCGTACCTTCAAATATATTAAAAAAATCAAACAGCTAAAAAAATATTATATAATAAAGGTTACAGATTTGAATATTATATTGGTCTCTATACTTTCGACTTTCGTTTATTTTAGTTCCGGTAGTTTCAAAATATCCATTTTGTTTCATATACTTTTAAAAAATGAATATTACCATCTCTTCATTTTCGTTGTTATCTCATTTTCTTTCGATCAAAATTTTAACACGACACTTCACTCCCTAAATTTTGTTGAGATGTGACCATAAATTTGAATCAAAAGTCCATTGTATATGAAATTTGTGTTAAAGTAGACAAATAGGACCAAATTTATCACTTTAAAACTAGAATCATCAAAATAAACGTTCTAAAAGTACGATGACTAAAATGATAAAGTATGAAGACCAAACGAAAGTGAAAAGTATAGGGACCCAAATAGTATTTAAACCAAGATTAATAATTTTTTCAAAAAGTTATATTTATATTTGTAATTACTTTTTACAAATTACATATTTATAAATATTTTAGAAAAAGAAGCTAAAAGACAAAGGAGAAGAATTATACCTCCCAGGTCTGAGCTTTAATGTAGTTGAGAACTTGGAGTAAGCACCAGAGTACTCAGGTGATAAGTCCTCCCCTATACTCCACCCATCAAAACTTCCCATAACTTGCACACTCTGTTCAAAGATGACCATAAAATTATAAAAATAATGGCAATAATAAAAAGAAAGAAAATAAAAAACTTCTGAAAACCAAACAAAAATCGTAGTTGATACACCATGGAAACTTTTTAATACAAATTTATGTCTATATTTCAAGAAATTGAGTGAGTGAAGTGTCGTGCTAAAATTATCATCGAAAGAAATGAGATAATAATGAAAATGAAGGGACTAAAATAGTCACGTTTGAAAAGTATAATAACAAAAATGAACGTTATATGGAATAAAATGGACAAAATTTGAAAGTCCAAGGATCAAAATAGACATTTTGGAAGTACAAGGATCGAAATAAACTAAAACTCAAAGTATAGAAACTAAAATAGTATTTAAACCTTTGATGATATACATGCAAGAAGACTATTTGGAGGGCTTTTCTTGTAACCTTCCTTAGCTGAGGTTGGCTTTCTCTCTCTCTTTTTGGTATTTTTTTACATGCTTTTTCTTATTATATTATTAAAAAAATGGTTAGAACATACATATCCAGTTTCCTTTCAGATAGGAAGAAAAATTAAACAAATATAAAATTTACTGTTCTTACCTCAGCCATTCCATACCAAAATAGTGAAATTTCCTTCGACTGCACCAAGTGTACATCTTTTATCTGATCCTCAATCTTTTTATGTACACCTTCAAAGGAAATAAAGAGTTCAAGAAATATTAATAAGTCAAAAGTACAGAATTCAGAAGGTGACGTCTAGTGTGTGCCTTTCCCCCAGCTGGTGTGTCTTGTGCAAGAACAGTGGAGAAGACCTTTGGCACTTGCTTTTTAATTGCCCCTTTGCCTCAGCTTGTTGGTCGGACCTTTTCATTCACCCTATTCCATTCACTAAATGATATATATAGACAAGGGACAAGGTTGACCAAAAGTAAATAATATATAAGGACGACAAAGGACAAATAGCTAAAATGTTTACAATAATATAAGCACTATAACAATTCCCCCAAGTTGGACCATATATGTTAATCATGCCTAGCTTGTTAGAGAGATAATCAATACGTGCTTTATTTTAATGCTTTCGTGAAGATATCTCTTAACTGCTCTCTAGTCTTCACATACCTGGAGACACTAATCCTTCCTGTATTTTCTCAAACAATCTACTTCAATGTATTTAGTCCATTCATAAACTATTAGATTAATGCAATATGGAGAGTTGCTTGATTATCACACTACAATTTGGTTAGAATTATGGTATCATATCCACATTAATTCACACACGAACTGCGTCATCACTCTATATTCTGATTTAGTGCTTGAATGGACACCACATTTTTGTTTCTTACTTTTCCAAGAAACTAGATTATCTCCGACAAATACACAATATGTTTTTGAGCAATAATGGAAAACTTTCATGGACAGCACACATCATTTCACACAAATACAGAACGAAGGTGAGCTAAAACTCAGGTGCAGAGGAAGAAACCCACTATTTCTGAAAACAAAGATTAGAATCCTCATTATACCTTCTAATTTTGTGAGAAGGTGAGATTGAATGTATTTCCCATTAATCTTTCTCGAACCTTCTGGAATACCGGATTGCGCTATTTCTTCTGCTAGTTTGATCAAAACCTTCTCATATCAATCACGAAAGGAGATCACAACTATACGTTTATTGTCTGAATAAATGTAGGGGAAAATGAATAAAACAGTAACCTGGAAGATATAAATTTGTTAAAAGCCTAACCTGAAATTCATGTTCCAAGGCAGCAAGTTCGGTTTTCAACTTAACTAAATCATCGTCCTTTACGTGTAGCTGAGAAGATTAAAATATGATCAGACCTTTTGTTCCAAATATGATTGCAGAAAAATAAAATATACCAAATATTTTGGCTACAAAAATTAACTTCATGTTCCTCAGCATTATGTCTTTATAAGAATCAAGGAAATAAGAAGACACCAACCGTCCCCAACTCCCCAGGGGTCAACAAACAAAATTTACAGTAATCAAAATTTAAAATGTCCAATTTTTGGTATTTCTGTCGTCCGGATGTGTGTATTCTCCTAATGAAAACTCTTTGTAACTAATTTAAAAAATTACAAGTTTTTGTTCCTAAACTTAAAAAGTTTGTATAGTTTGTATTTGATAAGTCCCTCAACTTTAAAAGGTATCTAATAGAATAATAGAATAGGATAATAAGTTCCTCAACTTTAAACACCTTTTTTTCACTGCTCTTTTGCTTTCAAGGTATGGGCACTTGTTCGGTCTGAGTTGGATTTCCAGTTTTGTCTTCCTAGGAGAATAGACGATCTGTTTCTTGAAGATTTTGGGGGAGCCATGCTTAAAGGCAAAGCTTATGTTTAGTGGAATTGTGCTGTGAGGGTGACACTGTGGTTGATTTGAAAGGAAAGGAATAGGAGGCTTTTGAAAACAAGAAACCTATCAATGAGAATTTTTATAATAGTGTACAACATTTTGCTTCGTGGTGGTCTTTATACCACAAGAAATTCTTTTGTAATTATAGACTATAAATGATAGATAGGAATTGGAACGCTACCATTGTCTAACTTTTGTGGAGGGTTTTCTCAACCCTCCGCCCTCAAGTTATCTCCTCTTTTGATAGATCAATGAATACTTTGTTTCTTATAAAAAAAGAAAAAAAAAGTTTCTAAATGTTAAGAACTGGCTAATAGATTCTTAACTTTCAATGATGTATCTAATAATCTCTGACATATTCAGCATTTTTTTTAATTCACGAGCCTATTATACAAAAAAAATTAAAGTTCAAGATTCTATTATATACAAAATTTAATTTTATGTATATTTTAATTTTAAAAAAGATCAAATAGGCCAGTGATTTATTAGACACAAAATTTGAAGTTGAGAACCTATTAGATATAAATCTGAAAATCCAAAGACTAAACTTGTAATTTAACCTTTTTTATTTTATCAATAGAAAGTTGTTGTTTCCTTTGTTGTACTAGTAAGCTGTCACAATGAGCCATTAATTATGAACTCGATCAAAAAGCTTACTTTATTGCAGACATTAATCAATAAAACGTTTCAAGGAAATTAACAATAGAAAGGAAGAAGATTAGTTTCTTCTTTGACTAATCTGTTTCAGGTTGATCCTTTTTGTCAATAACTCAACACAAATGCTAATGTGATCATTAACAGATAATGCCATGTAGGAAAAGAACTATCCACGCAATATATTATTATTATTATTATTTTTCTGAGCAACTATCCACGCAATATAATTGTTAACTTAAATGATTATTAAACATAAATGATCTACTTGAAACAGACAGACAAATTAATATCAGAGAAAAAAGGGACGATAACAAATACTGTGAAACTATATTTGTAATTAATCATATTGCATAATTGCATTATCAATCTAAAACCAGTAAAACAGAATATACACTAGGCAATCTAATCATAATCATAGCTCAACTATTTAAGACATATATTCTCGATCAAAAAGTCGGAGGTCCAAATCTCCCCCGAACTCAAATTGAAGGTAAACATATAACATGATCAAAAAACAAATAATGATAGAAAAATAAACATGCATCTACATGTTAAAGATAAAATATTTGGCCAACATACTTGTAACACAAAAAAGTTCATGTGTGTCTTTAGACCTGTCGTTTGAGAAGCCGGTTCTGCTGATTGGCATGACTGAGCTTTTTGACAAGCTTTTCTCTTTCTGAATCAGCCAGTAAAGCATTCAGCTGTAGTCAATTATGACTAATTCAGATCTTTGACAGATAAAAAATCTGGGTATCATGCTCTCTGAAAAGAAACATTTCAGAATGGAAGGAAACTAGCCTCAGCATTAAAGAAGTACCCGTTCAACTGAGTTTGCTTTCATATAGACCATTATTTGTTTATTCAAGTTGTCACTTTTCGTGGACACAAACAGTTGCTATGTTTTGTTTTCAGCAACGTATCTCATATTTACTTGGAGCATACCAAAATTCTTAAAGACTCTTTTCATACCGAGACAATTTTGTTGTTGGTGGAGAACAATACCGATAAAATTTTGTGAAGATCAGTATATCTTCGTATTCTTCACTGCACCTTATTTTTTTCACCTTTCCTTCTCTTACAAATGTCTTTTTTCTTTTCTCTTTCTTCTTTTTTTTTTTTGGATAATCAAAGGTGTAACCTCAATCAATTTCAAAGAGTATTTTTTCTAACTCTATAATATTACACTGAGAATGTAGGTAGGTGGCCCCAAAGTTTGAACCCATGATTTCAAACTACTTCCCCAATCTGCACCCACAGTCACCAACATTCTTGAAACCTTCCCCCAAGAAAGAAGCTTCTATATTCCTAAACCATGGGAACCCTGTCGGTTTTCTGTTATCTCCCTTTCCATATGATCACTTTTAGTATGCTCAATTGAAGATCGGTATGGAATTCATGCAAGCCCGACAAGAACCACTAGCTTGAATGTTACAAACGGGCTAAAAGATGCATCAATCTCCAAACTCCATTAAACTGTGCTGGAAAGTCGGCACTACGGATAGAATTAACTTGAGAGTAAAAGAAATTATGAAAAAAAGGTCACTGTACGTTTTGGTAAATGAAGGCTAATAGTTTTTAAGAAAGATTTTGGGACATTATGAACTTAATGTCTACATTTACCTGCTCGCTGCTAAGGGGTTGAGCCAGAAGTTCCTCTGTGCTGACAATCTCCTCTTCTACATCTGTAGCAGGATCCTCTGATTGCATTGAAGATTCTTCCGAAGTGACAGGCAAGGAATATCTTCTGTGACTACGACGATTCTGAGGATATCTCATCACAGAAGGTGCATAAAAATGGACCAACTTGAAAGAATCCATCCTAAAGCTCCAGGCCGCCATATTGCATGAAAGGCTATTCGTGTTTTCCCTCTTTAACTTTATTGCATTCTGGGAACTCAGTGAAACTTGCTTATCCAGACAAGTCCTAACCAAGATCATAAGATAAGTAATATTGGCATCGGGTTCTCAGAAATTCTTTAATGTAGCGAAAATCAAATTATTTGGAATTAACAAATATGTTTATCGTTATAGAATTCATGGAAAACTGCATTAATCACACCCACGTTAAAAGACCAACCTAAACCCATTTTGAACAACATTTAAAGAGGGAAAAAATACAGAACCGGCTCTCTTGACATATTTCTTTGAGTAAATCCTAGGTATATAGATAGTCACCAAACCATATGTGGAAGGAGCACAAAAAATTAGAGTTATCAATCTGTAACAAACAATTTTCTTATGGAGGAAAGGAAAGAATGTGTACCTTGGAGCACAAATCTCCATATTTACAAGCTCCTCCTATCAAGGAATAACAAAAAGATCATAAACCATCAAAGAAATATGTAAGTTCTCATGTAAGCATAACACTAGCGACCATAGCTAGAATAACAACTTACTTCACAATTACCAAGAAGATAATACATAGATTTCCAAAAAAACAACCATTTGAATATCAGAAAGAGGTAAAAGCCACATATATTTAGCCCTCTTCACTCTCTGGCCAAAACATATTTTTTATGTGGATCCATTTGGTCTTTGAATGTACGAATATTTGACAGTGAAAAGAAAACATTTGTTTATAAATTATGACTTGCCCAGAGTCCACAGATATTAACTCTACCACTAAGATCAGGACATTCATTTGCTTCATAAGAGTGGATTCTTGAATAGAGGGAGAAAAGGAGCTGAAAGTTCTCTTTCATTCAATTCAACCAATCTCTGCCAGTTACAGCATATCAGTATTCTTAAAAGAATCCAGTTCAGAGATCAATAACCAAGTTTAATGACCCGTAAAGAGATCAATAATCTGACCACCACCATTACTACTTACTCCACTTAACGAATGGATTCCACAATTTTGGAAACCAAATAAAAATTAGAGGAACATATCAGCATACACCTAAACAAACAATCAGCACAATACTCGCCAAATTAAAAAAAGTTCCAGCATTTTCTCTGATTCCTCTACTCCAAAATCACGATTGTACCACATTATTAGAAAGAAAAAGACCCACACAAAATCAAATTCTAATGCAGCAAAATAACTTTCCAGTTCCACACTAATTACTCACTATTTCTCGTTTTTTTTTTTTTCATAACTAAGAATTATGACAGGATTTGTAGTGTTCGGAAGGCACTGAGTTCCAATTGAATCTGCAGAGAAAATGGAATCATCGAACTTACTCAACGCTTGCAGATCAGTGAGTGAAGTGCCGAAATCGAGCCCTTAGAAGCTTTTGAAGCTCCAAACCAATGGCAATGGATACCGCGAAGCGAAACTCTGCAACGAAGCCGAAACGAATTCGACCGCCAATAACTCACCACGTGGAGATCCCGCGATGGCCAATAGGTGAGGGGAAGGCACGTGACTGCAATTTTTCCCTGAGTGCAACCTCCGTGGGATCAAACATGCAAAATTTTTTTCCCTGAGTGCAACTTCCGTGGGATCACACTATGTTAATTATGGAAGTTATATATTTTTTACTTTAATTTATTTTTTCCATACTCTATGTCCATTTGGGTCTTGGTATTTTTAATTTTTTTAATTTTAATTTTTATATTTTCAAAATGTTAGTTTTGACTAAAATAAACAAATATTAGATATAGGAATTTCATTTAGGAGGGCACGATACAAAAAATAAGGTAAATAGGATTTTGAAGTTGATATTGACCATTTTGTAAATATGTTATAGAAACTTTATTTTGAATAGTATAATTATAGTAAGAAATTTTAGTCCTTGGACCAAAAATCTACATGTATTTCTTCTAAATGGACTTCTACATGAGAACTCTAAAAATGGGTATTACTGTTTTTTTTAGAGATGACGACATACCGATTTCAATTTTTACAAAAATATTAATAGAAAATATTCAAAACCTAAAACATAAATTTAATAATCATAATAACTAAAACTGAAAGAAATAATTATAATCTTACTTGTGAATGGTATATTCTCCTTCAAAGCTCATCTTTTAATTTTAACTCTAAAATTAATTTTAAAAAATAATAAAGAGAGCAAAAATTTAATTTTATTTATCTATAATTTTTTATATTAAATAATAAATAATATATTTTCGATAATGTTAAAAAGTATCCAATATATATGCATTAAATTAGTTAGGTTTTAATGGGCTGAGCTATTGAAGATAAAATCCCTGGGTTTTGGTAGGCGACAAGTTGATTCTAAAATTTCAAAATAAATACTTTTGATCTTTAAAGTTTGAAAATTTATTCTAAATGATCCCTAAGTATTATTTGACCATTAGTTGACTTAACGTAAAAATGACATGGTAATTAATAGGTGAGTGGACATTTTTAAATTGCTTTTTTTTAAGGATTTGTAAAAAAATATTAATTTTTACATAATTTTGTTATGTGCGTTGACATTTTTTTAATTTATTTTCTTCTTTTTTTGGTCTCTTCATCTTCTTGCTACCACCATGTCTTCTTGATGGGAGATATATGTCAATTACCACTGAACTATGCTTACTTTGGCGAGAACAGAATATTCGCACAAAATTAAAATTAAGGAAAAAAAAGCTTCACACACGTGGCTAGATGTTAATAGTAACGTTTTAATGTGACATAAAATGAGATGTATATCTCATATGAACATAGGTTGTGAGTTTGAATTCTCACGCCCATGTTATACTAAAAATAGTTATAAAAGTTTACATAGCTAAATCAATCATAACTCATATAAAAAATTGGTCTTTTATCAAAACATCGTGAGTTTGAACTTTCACTCTCATTTTTTTTTAGTACATAATCTTTTGCTCAAGGAAAAAAGTACACAATACGTACTATGATAATAGCTCAACGATAAAGACATCTTGCTCATTTTCTAGAAATCGGATATTCAAAGTAAAGTTATAATCTATGAACAAACTACAGAAAAGTCGAGTAAAATGAAACTCCACGGAGACCAAACATTATTTCTAAGTAGTATGTAAATAAGTTTAAACAAGGGTATGAGAATTATGCATTAATTATTCTTAAACGAAATCCTAATTGAATGGGTGAATTGATTCGAATTTTTTTTTAATTGATACAATTATTACTTTTTTCTTTTTCCTTTTCTTTTATTAAAATTGGCATATATATATATATGGTCTTTTTTTCCAATGATGTCACATTATCACATTACATTTCTTATCACAAAAAAAAACCTAATATGAAATTTAGAAATTTGTTGTCATAATTTCCTTTGTCATATCATTATCAATTATTTATCACCGGGTAGAGAATATATTTTTAATTGAAGGCTATCTAAATAAATTATCCAAAAAAAAATAGGGTTATCGACTTCCATTTGATATGGAAGAATTTGAATAAATAGTTTTTTAAGCTGAATTTAATATAACTTTTAATTTAAGCACCTTTTTTTTACTAGTAATCAACTTTTAACTAATTAAATTATAAGATGGTGAATCACTTTAAAATAACTTTTACATAATTAAATCTGTCTTAAAAAATGGATTTTAGGACAATTCAATTTTTTAAAAATATTTTCTATTTATTACTAGACATAGTAAATATCTTTTTTTTTTCTTTTTAAATACACTTTTAATCATGTAAAATCATTTGAAAATTCTTAAGTTTTCTAGAGTACTTGTAGAAAAAATAGTTTTTTATTTAAAAATCACTTTTTCAAAAGTCATCCCGAACACTCTATTAATCTCTCCTTATTCATCACTTGACAACGAGATTTGATAGATTGTGTTTGGAAGGACCCATTCCAATCCAAAATTTATTGGGGTTACAACAACTTTTGAGATAAATGTAAGTTTTTTTTCCTAGTTCATTCAATTTGATAATTTCAATTCAAAAATTAAAATTATTAATATAAAATTGAATACTTTACTCCTTAATACGGCGGACACGAGCACAACTCAATTGATTAAAACATATATTTTCAGTCCAAATCAGAAATTCTAATCCATTGAAAAAAAATCTCCCTCTAACGTAAGTGTGAAAAGTGGAAAATTTTCCAATTACTTTGTTATTCTTCCAATTCAAACAAAACCCCTCAAACTTTCTCTTCACCTTTTTTTTTTCTCTCTCTCTTTTCCAATTACTCTTTTCATGGATTTAATATCTTTAAAGTCAAAGAGTTGTTCATATAACTCCATTTAATTTGCATTCATTGTCCTAAGTCCATATCTCCCATTTGCAAATAAATATCTTATTACCTTTCCGCAAGGGTCGCATCTAATTTTGGAGTAACATAAAAATGTGTTCCAAATAGGTTAAAAAAAAACGTTCGATGTGAGACCTTCCTTCACATTTGTAAGTCAACGTTAACATTTAACATCGTTACGAGTTGACTTTAATAAATAAAAAACATACATTAAAATTAAATTTTGAATGCCCAAATTACTGAGTATGAAATGGATTCGAATTAGAATGAGCAAAAGATTTACCGGTGAAAAATAGTTAGGTGCTTGTTGGTCAATACCAATTCCTTTTTGCCGACCACCGTTAAACTTTTGTTAAATAAGATAAAGAAATGCTGAAAAATAGATTTTTTTGTGTTTCTTTTTTTAATAAAATGTATCAAATTGTTATTTTTGTTGAATAAGCCGCCAAGTATTGTTTTTTTGTAAATTACAAAAGCCTATATCTAGGTTTGAATAGGTTTTGAGAACTTGAAAGACTAGATTTGGATGTAGCAGTTAAACCTACTTCTACCACCAAAATTTTAGAGAAGCAAAATTTTCTATGTTAATTTTTTTTTGTATAAAATATTTCAATATTCTAGAAATTTGGATGACAAATTAGAAGGAAACTACATCATCTTTAATATTTTATTTAGACGTTTTGAATTACGACAAATTAAGGGAGGGGGAGGTATTACCTCATTCGTGCTCAGCCTAGGTCTTCGGTCAAATCTTTACCATAAACTCGATCTTTATCAATTGTTGGGCCAAACTATTGTAATTAACTTATATGACCTCGATAGTTGAATTCTTTTTTTGTACAATATGTGGGGGTGGGAGATCGAACTCACAACCTCATGGTTGGAGGTATATGTCAATTACTGCTGAGCTATGCTCGTTTTGCACCTTGATAGTTGATATTATCATATGTTTTAATAGCATGTCAATAAGACTTTTTTTTTCCACCCTTATAAGCAACTAGCAAATCCAAAATGTGAGGTTTGAAGAAGGAAATAGTCCCACTTTGCTCGTCTTACAAACATATATGTATGTATATAATAATGTTAGAATGTAAAATTTATCTCTCTATAAAAAGATTTCTATCTTGACTTGGATCCATAATCGATTCAAAATAATTAAACAACCGCTATCCACAAACTTCCATGTGAATACAATTAGGGAGACCTCTTCTATTATCGATACGTGAACACACAAAAATATTACGAGATATATTCTACCTAATTACAAGTCAAAAAAAACTTCACTAGATAGTACTGATAATTTTACTTTCTTTATTACAAGTGACGATAGGTTGCATTATCTTTACGACTATATACAAGGAAAAATTTTAATTAACAATTTATTAATCCGAGGAAGAAAATAGAAACATCAGTTAAATATGTATGTATAAATCTACACACATGATTTATAAATACTCAAGTGGAACTAATTATCATTTAAGTAAATTTTCTATATTATTAAAAGTGATGTAAGGTCAACAAATTAATTTAAACAAATGACAGTATGAATCTCACTTATTATAGTAATACAAAATTTACTTTAGCATGAGGATGGAATTGACTTGGTCAAACAATAATAATAATAATAATAATAATAATAATAATAATAGGCATTTATCTAACAAGTTACAAGATTTGAAAAAGCTTCCTTTTCATTTAGGGTCCCTTTGAGGGGACCATAGGAAAAAATTCTTTTTAATGATAAGAGGAGTTGGAATTTGTCAAAGAGACCATATATAATAACAATAATAATACTTCCATGTTAAGGTAAGGTTTTATAATGATTTTTATTTTGCAAATTTGCAATGGGTAATTTTTTGTACTAAGATTTTAAATTTTGGCCATTTTTACTGTGTTTTAATATTGTAATTTTTTTTCGTTTGTCAATGTTGAGTATATTGCAAGAGAAGAAAGATGGATTTGATGATCTGAGATAAGACACAAAAAGAACAAAGAGACCTGTTAAAAATGTCGAATAAAAGAGACAACAACATAACTAAAGCAGAAACAACATAAGAAAACGTTATCTGCATCATAATTGAAAAAAACAAATTCAACAATCAAATTATGAAAATAACTCTCCAACAAAACCCGTCAATAGTTGAGATGTATATTATGGTTGGTTTTTGTTAATTGTTGATACATTATTAAATCAATCAAATTGACTAGTTAAATATTTGATGTCAATCACTAATTTATTAGATTTTTTTTTAAAATTATTGGATCCGCTGTTTATTTAAGTTTAGACATTTCCATAAAGAATCCAAACAACACATATCTCAAAAAACGCTACTTCTATATTTCTTTTTCTTTTCCTAACAGACATTTTCTTAAAAACACGAGATCTCGAGGAGTTGAAGATGGTGTAAGATTGAATCTTCTCACCTTACAGTTTAACCTACCTATTTCATTAAATGATCGACATTTTCAATAAATATTATATATTTCTAAAAAAAAAACTTTATGGTACTTTGGAAATAGCAACCTATAAACAAGTAGACACAACCTTTTAAAAATGATTTTTACAAGATTTAAATATTATTTTAGGCCTAAAGCTTCTTGATAGCTATTTTATTTTTGTTCATTAAATTTTCATACATTTGATTTTGGTCTCTTTTAACTTTTTTATAAAAAAAGAATTATTTTACTTACCATTATATTCTTTTTATGAATTACTTAATGGAGTAATTCTTCCCTTCATTTACTTGATTAATAGATATTTAAAGTAACATGTAATAAGTTATATGTCAAACTTTATCAAGAATTTAGATTTTTATTAATTGATAAATAGAAAATTAATACATCAAGAACTGAAATAACTCTTTATCTAAAATTTAGAGATTAAAATAAAATACTTAAAAATTGGAAGACTAATACAAAATAAATGTCTCACAGGGACTAAAAGTAGAGGCCTATATATATTTTTTGTAAAGGTCAAAAAAGTAACTGAGGGTATGTATGTAATTTCGGGAGGTCGAAGTCAAACAAGTCGCGCCAAGAACAAGAAGTGAAGGCTGGGAAGCGCAGCCCAGCCACGTGGACCCGGGTCAATTCCGTCCATCACATTCATAAATTGCAACTTGCCGCTTTCAAACTTCTAAAAGGAATTTATTTTGCTTGACTTTTTATTTTATTGTATTTAAATATTATTACTTATTATTTCTGTTTTTATAGTACAACACGTGTACGATGTAGAGATTGGAATACAAGGTCGAAGATAGGTGTTTAAACTAGTTCAGTTAAGTTTAGATGAGTTTAAATCTCATTTTGATACTTATATTTTTAATTTTTAAATAATTCAAGATAAAATAATGATACATGTAAATTTCTTTATCATTCCATTAGAATAGAAGTTAAAGAGGATATTTATACACGTCGTATCCTTCATATGGAAATTAGAGGCGAATGGGCCATTCCCTTAACTCTTACCGATCAGAATTTGACACCACGAGAAATGTAGCAAAAGGCTGTCAAATTGACCTATGTCTTGCGTATGCCAATGAAAGTTTTTTTGAAAATGAAGTTCACAATCAATGCTTTCTTATTTTGTAGCAGGAGGGATAAAATTGAAATGAGCTAAAATAAAATTGATTTAAAAACTTAATGTCTAAAATATATATTTTAAAAATTCAAGAATTGAAGTAAATTAATTAAAAAATTCAAAGGATGAGCAAAGTTTAAGCTTGTTATCCTATCCTTAGATGATAGAAAGAAGTATGTATATGTATGTGTGTTATATATATAATAGGTGAAAAAACCAAAGCTACTTTAATCATAAAAGAAAACAACTCCTCCCGTTAATTATTTGTTTGATGTAGTTAAGTAATGGTTCGTTCGATAACATTCTCATTTTTTATTATTTGTTTATATTTTTCAAAATTTTAGAATATTATGTATTATTGTTTCTCATTTCTTATTTTAAGTAACATTTTTAAAATTATGTAGAAATTTTTGAAACATCGCAATTAAGTTTATTGTTTGTGATTATCGTTTCCATTTTTTTTTTCAAAACATAAATTAAGGTAAAATATATAATAAATATTACAAAATATATGAGATATAAATTTTGAATATTTAATTTAACAGTTAAATTTTTTTACTTTTTTAATCTAAAATTGTAGAGAATAAAATATAAAAATTGATTATTCGAACATGATTCTAAAATAAAAGATGTTTATACTTTTATTTAAAAAAATATGAAATGAGAAAAGAGAAACAAGAAACAAAAATTTACCCAAATTATCCTATTTAACTTGATTTTTGTCACCCAAGATCTAGATTCGAACTCTCGTGTGTCCAAATAAGAAAAAAAAAACTTGATTTTTGTTTCTTTAAAAAGATTAATTTCCCACTTTTCAAAACAATACTACTCTTTGAAATGGCTCCTTCCTCTTCCTATGTGCCGCGTGAGAGCTGTGAATTTCATTGTTTTTGATTGACAAAGTTGGATTCCCATCTCATAATTGATATGGTAAATTAAGGCTGTCGTTCCAAATATATAAAATATGGTTAAAACACCTCATAATTGCCAATCGGTCCCTACATCTTATAATATTTATTTTCATATTTATATTTTGCGTGACATTTTTTTTCTTGACGTGACAAAAACAAGTCGATGAATTAATGTGATTACAATGGTACTCGAATTCATTTACGATCCCGAATTTTCAGACACATCGCGCTTCCACTCGATCATATCGAAATATGGAAGAACCAACACAACAAGGACGTAACTAATGGAAGGTTCTCTACCTGTCTCCAACATTGTTCTTCGACGACGCATCTAGGCAAAAAGGCCACCAACCTCTTTCTTTCTTTAATCGTTTCGATCATGGCAAGTGGGTTAGTTCCTTTCCTCCCTACCTTTTTTTCTTTTTGCTTTTTGGGTTTTCTTGGATTTATATTCTCTTCTTGCCATATTTGAGTTTTGTATACACATATTCTTCACTTTCCTCACTTCTGGATTCGAGGATTAGTACAATAACTTTACAAAGTGGACATGATATGAAACATGAAATAAATGACTTTAATTCGAGATCTACTACTCATAATATTATGTTACCACTTGATTTAAAAGCTTAAACTAATAAACTATAGTAAATTTAATAACGTATACATATTTTTTAACACTTTTATGCATAAGCTTGGAAACTAGCATAGGACGTAACAACAAAAAACGAAAAACGAAATGGTTAAAAATTCCTACCTATATATTTAATCATTTATATATATTCTTTTAACACTTCAAAGACCCATGCTAGTCAAACTAAAAACACTATATTTTATTCTTAAAGAGAGAAAAAAAGTAAATATATTTGAAGCTATAAATAAGAGGGGAGAGGGAGCCAAAACCCCAATCAATTTCACATTGCATTGGAAAAAAGGAAATTGGGTTTCTTCTTCCTGTGGTGCATCCGAAAGAAGGAAGAAGAAGACAATCGATAGCCCCACAGAAGAAGAAGAAGTTAAAATCACAGCGCAATTGGGCCTCTTCATCTTCATTTCAGAGCTTCGGAGAAATCAATTGAGGGGTTTGAAAGAAAAAATGGAGAATCTGATGGGTCTGCTCAGAATCCACGTCTACAGAGGGGTCAATCTCGCCGTAAGAGACGTTGTTAGCAGCGATCCTTACGTTATTTTCAAGATGGGCAAACAGGTTTTCTTCTTCTTCTTCTTCATTTCTCTGTTTTCCCCCTTCTTCTCTGGTTCTGGTTTTCTGATGCTGTTTGGGAGATGAGAATTGTGATGATCGTTTTTCTGTTGTTTTGGTCATTTGTTTGATGATTGTTTGAAGTTTGGATGATCAAATTTGTGCAATTTTGGGTGTCATTTGCTCCTCTGAAAGCTAGATTTGCCTGTTTGTCTCTTGAGTTGAGTTTCTGCTGTTTCTAGTGATCCTAATCTATCCGCTTAAACTTTTAAAGTTCGGTGGCGGTAATTGTTTAATTGAGCAGAGTTTTGAAACTCTGCATTGACTTTGAGTTTGTGATCAGTAACCTATCAACTTAAACTTTTAAATTTCGATGCAGTAGAGTTTACATTTCATACGCTGTCAATATCGATATCAGTAGTCTATTTGTTGGGTTTTGTCTGATTTTCGAAGCCACAAGTAAAGGGAGTATTGAAAGTATTATACAAAGATCAAATTTAGCTTGACGCATCAATTATATCATTTCTTCTCCAATCGTGCTAATTTTCAAACCAACGAGTGGGGAAGGGTTTATGAAAGTTACTGTAACCCATCAACTCAAACTTCTAGTGGCATCTTTTCTTACTTGAACTGGCTAAAATTTCCCCAATACAGAAGTTGAAGACTCGAGTGGTGAAACAAAACATCAATCCGGAGTGGAACGAAGATCTAACTCTATCGATCCAAGATCCAAATCTCCCCGTCTACGTGGTAAGAAAGAAAACTCCACGATTCTCATTTCTTTCTCTTGTTGTCATATCAACGCATACTCTCACTTGTCATATCATGATCGTTTGGTGACGCTCTCGTTTTGACTCACAGCTGGTATACGACAAGGACTTGTTCTCGTTGGACGACAAGATGGGCGATGCAGAGTTCGACGTTCGGCCATTCATGGAAGCGGTGAAGATGAGGCTGAACAACCTCCCAAGTGGAACCATCATAAGAAAGATTCAACCAAGCAGGGAGAATTGCTTGTCTGAAGAAAGTTGCATAGTTTGGGCAAATGGACAAGTTATTCAGAAGATGTTTCTAAGGCTAAGAAATGTGGAGTCTGGTGAAATTGAACTGCAGTTGCAATGGATTGATATTCCTGGTTCCAGGGGATTGTAAATTTAGATTAGATACTAAAAAACAAAAAAAAATTAAAACACATCATATTTTATGAACTAATTAAGTTTCTTTTCTGGATTTTAATTTGGTGTTTTTGTTTTCAAACTTTTAGTTGGCCTCCCAATGTCCAATGGATTAGTGGAGAATATCTACATGGTTATGTATCTTCAAATGTCTTTTATGGTTTATTTGATTGTCGAAGATTTCAAATGAGTTTCGCTCTTTGTTATCACACAAGATTTCAAATCTTGTTTGTACAGAAAATGGTATAGTCCAATTTTGCAGGATTTCATTAAATTTTAAATTAAATTTACTTATTTAATGTCGTCATATTTTAAGATTAAAAGTTTATATTAATAAATTTTTTTATTTCCTTTTCCCCCAACGAACATTGCACAAAGAAAATTTAATTATATTCATTTTAAAACAATTTCGTTCCAAATCAGATAAAGAATTTAAAATAATTTCTCGAATTTTAAATCATGGTTTCTCTTTTTGACGTTTAACTAGACTCTTTTAAGGTTCATTTTTAATTTTGCCTTTAGCTTCCCAATACTAATGCAGGTCAAAAGATGTATTTTAGTTAGAAGTAAGGAAAATTACATAAACAACTCGTAATGGTTACAATTATTCTCAAATCGGTTCCTAGTGTCACTCAATCAAGATTCGACATCAAGAGAGATGGTGTCGCGGAAGGAATAGAAATATTTGACCAAATTATTTTCATGAATATATATATATATATATAATTCGGGTTATCTTTCGAGAGCCAAAGATAGATTTGACAATTCCGGATGCCCATCCCCCTGTCCCGACATAGCGTTTCGCTTTCGGTGATTCGAAAGAATCGCCCGCAAGGTAACTTCAAACTCAAACAAGGATAATCTTCATCTCTTGGATTTCACGACATAGCATCTATATCCGAACTGAGCATTTCAAGTCTTTTCCTAGTCATGTGCACTGACGACATTGATTGCTTTAGTTCTTGAATCACAACATTATAAAAATTAGAAACACAACCTTTTGTGTGCAATAATTTTCACGATTCTAACGATCAATATAATTTAGGGGTTGTTTTCACAACTTGCCTTCAAAATAAATCTGAGTAATTAAAATGATACAAAAAAATCAAAATATAAAATAATTCCCTAATGTAACAAACTCTCATGTATAATTATTTATTTATTTTATGTATAAGCTATGGGATTGGTTAATTAGTTTTTAGTTTTAGATAGTAGAATTAAACTTTAATCTATTTTTTATTTTATATTGCCTAAAAACAAAACATGTATAAAATTGTGAAGTCTCCTAGTTGACCCAATCACACAACCTAATCCACTAATTTTTTATGAGATTATACCTAATTTTAGGTTTGGTTCATTGAAAGACAAAAAAAAAAAAGAAAAAAAGAAAAGAAAAAAAAAGATAATGATTAACAATTGGATTTAAGCTTCAAATTCAAAAAGACAAAAAGAAAAAGAATTTGGATTTGATTGTGTGCAGCTTAATTTATAAATTATTTTATTTTATATTAGGAGAGATGTAGGAGTGGGTGACATGTTCTAAATTCTTTGCCTTGGGGAAGGAATAGAAAGGCTTGACCAAATTATTTTCATTTATATATTTATTTATTTGCTTGTTTGTTTAAAATTTATATTTTCTTCTGTCTTCTCCTACTTCTTGTCTTGTTTACAACCTCTCTCTCTCTCGTTTGTGGGCTTCAATATTATTCCCATGCCAAAATGAATAAATAAATAAACAAATAAAAGATGATTTGTGATTATTTTTTTCTAAACAAAACTAAAATTTTTTAAATATATAATTACAAATGTGCGGTGGAGTTTCGAATTTTGATCTACAAAAGAGGGCTACTAAATACTTCAACGAGTTAATTAAAAGTGGAGAATTTGAGCCCTTTGTGATTTTTGTTTATTGGATTGTTTCGTTCCTACCGAAGGTTTAAAACATGTTTGACAGTAATGGTAGAATGAGTGATTTTAGAAAAAAAATATTTAATTACAATCGAATTTGTAAAATTAATTTTGGGCGTGATTGAAAATGATTTTAGAATGAATGACTTGATTACAAGTGATTTTGTAAAAGTTAATTTTATATAATTATTTTAATGTTCAATGTCGTATTTTTAAAATGATCTTGAAGGATTAATGTTTGATTTAAAAATTGATTTTAGAAGCACTAAATTAATAGCATATATTTTAAAAAATTATTTAACACCCTTCATTAAATAATTACGACCAAAATAATATGATACATATGTAACTAAATAATGATCTCAATATTTCAGACAGTGAAAGGCAAAAAGAATTTAAAAAGAGATAGAGGACTAAAAATTTAAAGAGGTTACAAAAATTCTAAAGGGATCAAATTTAAAACTTTCAGAAAAGAAAAAAAAAATTCTCAGAAATAGAATGACAAATTTGAAATTTTAAAATAAAAATTTCAAAAACTAATTTACCATTAATAGAACGACAACCACTTAAATCATTATCAAACCAAACATGTCTAGTTCAAAATCATTCCCAAACATGTCATTAGTTCCACTTCATTTAGAAAAACTTTTCATATAAATTTTTTAATATCTTTTTATTATATCAATTTATTTGGATAAGCCAATTTGACCATAATTCAACTGGTCAAGGTATCTATCTCATGAATTCGAATCTTCACCCGTACATGTTAAACTAAAAAAAATTTATTCCATTAAAATCTCTCTTGATTTGTTTGAGAAGCATATGACATAACATAAATATGTTTTTTTTATTATTATTTTTTTTATAAATAAGGGAATTACATGATTATGTTGGGTTCAGATAATCAACTCATATTTTGATGCCACATAGTAATTTAATGGTAAAATGGTTAACGTTAAAATCTGCCAAAAGATTACAGAGACAAAAGAAGAAAAAAGAAAAAAGAAAGGAAAAAAGAAAGCATATGGCAACTGGGCTTTATGGGCTCAAAAGGATGGGCTGATTTGGAAACTGGGCTTAATGAGTTAATGGGCTAATTTGACCCACTCGCTTGATTTCGTGATTGTTGCATTAATAATTAGGGAGTCCTTTTCAAAAAAAAAAATAATAATAATAATAAAGATTAAAAAATTAGGGAGTCATGGCAAAAAAAAATAATTTTCAATTAACGGTAAGAATCTCACCGTAAACTTTCAATTTCTTCAAATTAAACTTTTGATATAGGGATCTGAATCACATAAGCATGGTAATGCTTTAGCGGGAGGCAAGTCCACTTTGTTTTCACCTTGCCACTTTGCCTTGTTGATAGTAGAAAAGTAAAAAATGAGAGAGTAAGAGTAAAAGAGACGAAAAACTTTATTAAACCATCTTTATTAGAGTAGTTTTGATAAAACTGAAATCTACGTGCAAACATATCTTATCTATCTCGTAAATCATTGTCCTTCATTTTGTCTATTAGTAATAATTTATCCTCTTTATTTTTTAAAAGACAGATTCTTTTGGATTGATCGGAAAGGGTTTTGTTCACTTGGTTTGATCTTATATGCTATCTTTCAATTTTCAATTTCCTGTTACCACCGTCCTTCGACCTGGTTGACCCTCGGCACCTATAAAAGGGGAGGATGCCCTCACTACCAAGTAAGTGAAAAATCTGTCAAACTCTTGGTGTCTACTCCTATTCCTTTTTACTCAAACTACTCACATTTTTGTCAGAGTGCATCAGGCGGGACACCGCACCAACGTCGAGTTTTCTAGTTGTAGGCTCTTTTGTTCCTTGACGAACTCGCACTTCCGAGAGACACGTGGACCTCTAAAAAATTCACCGTATATAAATGTATATAATCAATATTTATAATACTACTATGCACTACTTTTTATGTATAATATAATGGTTTTATCTGTTAAGTAATAGCATATATCAATGTCTTGTATATTTTGTGCAGAGGAATTAACGAAACACAAAATTAATTAATCCGAACTCAACAGTTGTGTTGCTTCCTTAAGACAATTTTGTTTCTTCTATGTAATAGACCTTTAAGATTTAACCATAAATGTTATATTACTGAATGTCTACTTTGAGCATAACTCTCACGACTTTATTTTTAGTTTCATATCAATGGTGATAATTATCCTCATCTATATATCATAGATCACTCTCTTCCCTAGTCAATGTGAGACTTTGTTTGCACATTTTATAAACCCAACAAAAAACGATAACTTCTTTCAAATTTCCTCTCTTTTCAGATTTAATCCACGCAAGTTTTGGAGTTAATTGCTAAGTCTTTCCATATTTTGTAATGCAACTTTTTGTTCAAAATATTAATGGATGTTTGAGCAAAATGTATTTTTTAAAAAAGAAAGGTGAAAAACTTTTTGTTCAAAATATTAATAGGCCTTTGGTCAAAATGTATTTTTAAAAAGAAACGTGAACCGTAATATTGAAACGTTTGAAATGATGGTAGTATTTTTTGAACAAAAGGTAAAGTTTAAGAGGTTTTTTTTTTCTTTTCTGCTACCAAAGTGAGCATAGCTCAGCATTAATTGGAATATATCTCTAATCGTGAGGTAGTGAGTTAATATATTAATGTTACATATGCTTTTAACCAATTGAGTTATATTCCTATTCTATTTTAATTTTTTCTTCTTTGAGGCGGTGTACCGTTAATATAATATAATATCTTTTTTTTTTAGAGAAAAATGGAAGTTGAAAACGGTGATAAAATGAGTTTGTAAAGTTTTATTTTTCCCAAATACATATTTCAGTCTCAAATATTTTTATTATTTCAGTCTGCCCCAATATTTAAAAAGTGCTAATTTCATTCATCATGCATTGAGTTTTAAAGAAATCACAACATATGAATTTAAAAAATATAACTTCAATGAGATTACTTTTTGGGATTTCAACTTCTTACTTGTAAGAATACTTAATGATGTGACATTACTATTAGTTAGCATACCAACATTTTTATATAAATTTTCTTTTTTTCGTTAAGTTATCTGAAATAAGTAAATCTTTTATTTTATATGTAGGTTTATCTTTTCTTTTTTTTTTTTTTTCTTTTTAGTCTCTTACATTTTCAAAATATAAGGTTCCATTTCATTTTAGTGTTTTGAACCCTTTATTTTCTTTTGCAAAATTAAAAGGCATAAAGGCCAAAATGGGAGATCAAATTAAAAATTTTAATCAAATGAAATTGAAACATTAAAATAATTCAAAATCAAATTGGAGAAATATAAAAATATCACTCCTATTCTTATCGATCTCTGCTGCTTTTAAAATCTCAGACATAATATTGATATCGATCATTTTTAATATATATTTAGAAAAGTTGAAATAATTATTTACCAATTTAAATATTTTTTTACGATATTTTACCTTTCTAGAAATATCGCCGATGGAGTAGCGGTGGGGCCGGGGGCAGGTAATGAATATGATTAAAAAACAAAGGAGCAGAGAAAGTAGGGTCTGAAAAGTGAGAAGCAAGATACATGGTTATATGCTTCGCCCTAAAGATAAAGCAATGTCTCTCATTCATTATCAGTTATCACACCACCAACAATATGCCTTATGACCCAACTCAAACTCCCACGTGGATCTCACAAAATCAAACGAATTCATCGCCAGAGAAGAAAAAGGAAAATTCAATTCAATGGCTCCACCGATTTCGGCCTCAATCAACCACCACAAAAACAACACCATTCAATTGCTTCAATCAATCACCAATCAGATTTCCGATGCCACAAATTCAGGAAAACAGAGTTAATGCCAATTTAATTTTGCGACAACTTCGAATTCATCCGTTTAGGTAAGGAACGAAACCGAATCGAACCGGAGAAATCGGAATCATATTATTCAATTAGAGAGAGATGATAATCTTTTCTTCTTCATTTCAGTGGAGTGAAGAACTAGAAGATCTCCGATTAAGATCTAGAATCGGAGATTGGAATCGGTTAAATGAGAGAGAATCGAGCCGGAGAAGTCAGAATCAATTCGAAAGCATATTCAATTAGAGAGATGATAATCTTTTTCTTCCGAACTAGAAGATCTACGATTACGATCTAAAATCGGAGGTCAAGTTCTTGCTAAAGGATGAAGAAATAGGATCACAGACTGTACACTAAGAAACGACTGAGAGTACCTGATTTTAGTTCTAGATAGACCTACTACCTCTTCCGGCGGATTCTAACTGCGCGTCATCATCTTCTTGAACTCCTCGAAATTTACATGGCCGTCGCCGTCGACATCGACGGAACTGATCATCCGGCAGCAATCCTTCAGGCTACATTTCTCGCCGAGCCGCTTCAGCACGGAATGCAACTCCTTCGCCGAGATTAGGCCGTTCTTGTCGATGTCGTACAGATCGAAAGCGTCCTGCAGATCTTTGTTTCCTCCGCCGGTCGCCGACACGTCTTGATGAAACTCGGCGAACTCGTCGAGATCGATGAATCCGTCGCCGTCCTTATCGATCTCCGCCATAATGCGGCGGACCTCGTCGGAGGAGACCTTGCCGCCGAGTTCGCCGAGCGCGTCGCCGAGCTCGTTGACGGAAATCTTGCCGTCGCCGTTCTTGTCGAACTTGTTGAACACCTTGGTGACCTCGTCCATGGAGCCCAAGGCTCCTCCGAGATTCGTGGAGCTTGGATCCGAAACCGACTTCTTCGCCATAGGCATAAAGCTTCCCGAAAAAAATTCAAAGGGGGATTTTGAAATTTGAATTGAACGAGAGAAATCGGAAAAATATATTTTTCTTTGTTTTTTTTTCTCTGAACTGATTTGCTAAAGATTATATAGTCACAGCCGAAATCTTCCACGCGGTTTCCACGCGTTTATCTGGCGTAGTTAGGGCGGTGATCGGGAGAGTGCTAGTGTACCGTAAACTGTTCTAGTATTTTACGACCATGTATTTAATTTCTATGATATTTCTGGTTGAGCTCGATATCGATATAAGGGATAAAATGTCGTTGGTTGGTTTAAATAATTTCTATAAAATTTTTTAATTTTTTTCTCAAATAAGTGTGGGTCGAGATTTTAAATATCTATGTGGATGATGGATTTGTTAAGTGTCAACATCAATGAAGTTAAATGTTTTTGAAAAAATTATAAAGATCAAGATATTTATGTGTACATATAATTTATATTTTGTTGATTTTTTATGGTATTATAAGAATGTTCATTATTACCTTCTATGTCGATATTGAAACTGTGGACATGTGAAAATGTCGATGGAGATATCGACATGTCATGGAATTTAATACCCTCGGGTGGGTGTGTTTTTTAGCCTTAATGATAATGTGTGGGGAAATTTTTTGTTGCCTACACCTTGGTTAATAAGAGTTCCTAGAAATTTTTGACGTATTTTTATTTACTAAAAATAATTTTAGTGGAATAATTATCTATGAAATACAATAGAGATTGACCAATAAAAAAAATTATACTAATTAGTCTGATCTTTGTGTGCATGCAAGTATCGTTACATTCCAAAAAAAAATAATTTTTTTCTTTTATATATAAGTGACAGGTTAATTTACGCACACCTTAATTAAATAAGATGACACGACTTTGATATCTTAGGTGGATCAATCCATGGTAGTTGGTAATAATTTTATTATCCATTTGAGACGTACGTAAATTTTCAAAATTTCAACTTCGTCACATTAAAATCCTTATTATTTGAGTGTTCAAGTTAATGAGAGACGGCGTGCACTTGTGGTAGGCTTTTCCCTCTTGATCTAGTCATGTATTATGTGAAATGTAGATTATCGTCACTCATAATGTTGAGACCGTTAAATTATGTTCGGGTCTTTGATTTGAATTTAATTAATTATATTTCAAGATCACCCTAATTTAAGCTTTTAATTGAAATGACCGTTCCAATTTGAAATTCTTATTGATAAAATTAATTGTGAGATTAAATGCAACCAAACCTTTCTAAAAGCTAGAATTTAATGGCTTCAAGTGACGTCACATCATTTATGTAGGATAGATATTCATAGAGATGAGACCTACCCTAAAGTTATAGGACGTTTGGTACGTAGTAATGAAATGAATAAATTAAAGAAGTCTACGGGTATTATTGGACATTTTGAAATCCTATATCGAGGACCAACTCATGAAAGACTTTTACATGTAGGCATTCCATAAGTGAATCGACTCCATGTCAAAGTAAAGAGAGATTTTGAAATCCAATACAAATATTGATTGACTGATTAAGACTTATTTTTTCTCAACAAGAAGTTTAGAGATTTGAATTCTCACCCTCACATATTATTGAACTTAAAAGATTTAGATTTTGAAAATAAACAAGAGACTGTATAATAAAGAAAAATGCGTAAAAAAATCGATATATATAGATACACACACAAACATGCATATATATATATATATATATATACTTCTTTAGCATATTCACTAAAACTTTATAATTAGGTGTGTTTAGTTTTAATTTTATAGCAATTTTAATTTGAGTGATGTCTTATAAAATTTTCGAAAAAAAATATGTGGTATAGATAAAACACATTGAAATGATCTAGGTTACGTGGTTAGTTTGTAAGTTTGCAAGGGAATCTTTAATCTTGATACCAATTCAAGAAAGGGTATGATTGAGCCTAGTTATTTTTTTTTTCTCTATATGAAAGAAAAAAATCAATATCGTTATTCTATTATAGTTTGACAACTAACTTGGAAGTACTTTCCTTAGTTAGCCATAATGACGAAACTTCTTTCCCTTATGAGTTTTTCTAAAAATACTAAAATACAAGAGGCTTTCGAACAATTTCGTTGCCTTAGCTTTTAATAACTTGTTTAGTTTAGTTGCTCTTTTGTCTTTCGAAAACAAGGCGTACTCATTCTTGAGATTGAAGACTAAAGAACTTATTAAAAAGGTAAAGTCATAGCTAGAGATTTATTCTGATTGTTTAGGATCAAACGTCTTCAATCTCGATAACACCTCAAGAAATTACTTCGCATGTTCAAGTGGTAAGGAATGCATATAAATGCAAAAATCATGTCCCATATCAAACGACTTAAAAAGCAACCGATACATTCGAATTGCAATCACGAACAGCACTTACATCTTCATTTACCGATTTATATTTTTTTTTCTCTATTTTCTAATCTACTCTCGAAAATAATTTTTCCCGACCAATGGATTAGATTTGCCGGAGATGCACGACCATTCAAATATCGCCACGTCACCATCGGTAGGTGAAAATCCAAAGGACAGTGTCCACAAATTAAAAAAGTGGCGGGCCGGCCAGGCCACTGGGCAAAGCAAGTTCCCGTGGTCCCGACCGTACCCGATTGCGACTCTTTTCCCGCGTGAATTTAATAAATTCAGTTTCCGGAAACTTTTTCTGCATTTTCCTTTTTCCCAAAAAACTGTTTCAACTTTCAATAGCCGCAGAAAAAGTCAATTAATTTATATTTATATTTAATAGTAATTATTGCGATAATGATAATTAATAATAATAATAAATATTATTAAATATAATCGAGTGTGGTCGTGGGAAAGCGCGTCGAGGACTGAGTTTAAGGCAAGACCAATGCTGGTTAATGGTTGCAGACTCAGAATTTTTCCAACTATTTTAATTTAGGTTAAATATTTCTGTCAAAAAAAAAGAAAAAAAAATTTAGGTTAAATATCATTTTTTATCCCTATATTTTTAATTTTTATTTGTATTAATTCTGGTACGAATGAAACGTTCATTTTGGTATTTGTATTTTTAAAAGTGATTATTTTCATTTTGATCTTATTTCTTTTGATCATAATTTTAGCCCAACACTTTCTACTAAATTTATTGAAATATAGTCATAAATTTATATTAAAGAGTCTATATTGTGTAATTTGTATTAAATTTTTGTAAATAGAGACCAAAATAGTCACTTTTTAATATAATATTTATTGTTATTTGAGACTTTTTAAAAGATTAATGCAAATAATTCATTAATATCAACTATGACTAGGGTTTATTTGTAAAAAACTACCACCAGGGGTGTTTAAAAAAATCCTAATGAAGCTTTGTGGGAAAAAAAATTATAGTTCAAATAAATTGATTCACGAGTTTGGTTAAAATTAACAGGTTTAAATATTATCTTGATACATCCAATTTAAGCTTTTGTTTATTTTGTTTTTTAAACTTAAAAAACGTACTTTTAGTTTTTTGTCAATTTTTATCCATGTACTTTTGATATATCTGTTTTGATTTCTATATTTTTAAAGAAGTAATTGTTTTCATCCATTCATTTCCTTCTTTTCTTTCTTTTTTTTTTAAAGATCTTTTTATTTCATTTTCTGAAGTAATTGTTTTCATCGATTCATTTCCTTCCTTTCTTTCTTTTTTAAAGATCTTTTTATCTCATTTTCTGGTTATAATTTCAGCATGATAATATATTCAATAAATTTTCTGAAATGTAGCAAAACTAAGGTTTCTTGTGAATATAATGTGTTAAAAAGTTTCAAATAGGGACTAAAATGTCACTTTTAAAAAATAGACGACTAAAATTGACATTTTAAAAGTATATAAGCAAAAGTTGAGTACAAAACTAGAATGAACATTTTGAAAATATAGAAACCAAAATGTCAAAGTGAGCATAGCTCAATAGTAATTGACATATATTCCCAACCAAGAGGTTGCAAGTTCGATCCCCGACCCCACATGTTGTACTAAAAAAAATATAGAGACCAAAATGAAAGCGGTTAGAGCTCGTTTGGTAAGTTCTTGTTTCTCGTTTTTTATTTTTTAAGAAAGGAAAAATATATACATGTTTGGTAGCTATTTTTAAATTAAACATTCAAGGTTTTTATGGTATATTTATTGTTTTTAATATTTATTATTCATTTTATAAGTTAATGTAAAAAATATTACTATTTTCTAAAAAAGAAATTGTTATTTATGTTAAAAAAAAAACTAGAATCAAGAACAATAAACTTTCGTTGTTTTTATTCCTAAATCTTGTGAGAGAGGTTAAAAGAAAAGAAAGATATATATATTTAATTTGAGAGAAAAGTTAAAAGACATAAAAAAGCAGAAAGGTAATTTCAAGTCCACAGTTCAACTAAAAATGACCAGAATAACTAGTTTTAAAAAACCGACCTAAAATTGTAAAAAAAAAAAACTTTGACAATTTCCCCAATTTAATCATTAGTTTTTTGTAAGCTACTTTCAAAGAAAAAAAAAAGAAGATATTAATTGCGTTTTAGTGACGTGGTGGACCCGTGGCCGTGGTTGACAATTTCTGCAATTTTATTTTAAAAAAACTTCTCCCTCTCCCAATCACCATACGACACGCCTTTGTTCCAACAATTATTTTAATGAGAATTACTTTTGTTGAAAAGTCCACATCTTCATTTTTATATATATATATATAATTTTTTTGACATATTTTTCGCCTCTCTTATAAATATATTTGAATTCTTAGTCAAACTTAAAAGATAAAAATAATTATTTAAATGAATAATTTTACTTAGATTATGAAAAAAATCTTTCAATGGTAGATAAAAACAAAGAAACCCATAAATAGAAGAGTGATATTTATAAGCTTAATTAACTTCTAATAATATATATATATATATATATATATATATAAAACAAGCCCTATTTTTTTAGTTTTAAAAAACTGACTTAAACACATAGGTGAAAAAAAAAGCTTTTCAAAATAAAAAACAAAAAACAACTCAGACTTGGTTTGATAACATTTTATTTTAGTTTTATTTTATTGAAAATTACACTTGATTCTTCACAATTTATTTAACATGTTTTTCATGATTTTTAATTATAAAATATATTCAAATCCA